ATTTATGTAATAAAATAAATATAAATTTATGTAATAAAATAAATATAAATTTATTTATGTAATAAAATAAATATAAGTTTATTTAATTTGCATTGAGCACAGTAGGTATTTTGTAATTCTTCTTCCTGCTGCAATCCCAGGAATCTTTCAGCCTGAACCAGGGTTCCCTCTTTGAGCTGCCATTTGGGGACCCTGCAGGGTTTTTCTTTGGTCATTGATTCTGAAAAGGTGATATGAAAAAAAGGGACTGTCATGCAGAGCTCTGACGTGCTATTGGAAGTAGCACCAGTAGTAGTATCAGGTGTGGAGACCCTTCCCAGTCTTAATTTCATTTGTACCTTTCTTCTGCATTGCTGGGAATTTTAAAACATTTAAAGTATCAAAACAACCATGCATAATTAAAACAACTTGCATTTTTGCTTTTTGTTCAGATTAAATGAACTAAAGTTGTACATTTGGTATGAGTTTTTTGCCCCAGTTTGCATGGTCCCCCTGAGGTTGGAGGCCCAGGCCTGCGTGTGACCTCGAGAAGTCACTTCTAAGCTGGTCCTACTCGGCTGTGAAATGAAACACTTGAGGCAATAGCCCAAGGTCCTCTTGTCTTCGCGATTCTTTGATTTTTGTGACTTGATCACAAAACATTATCATTCTCACAGTTTCTAAGTAGAACTGATGATAAATTAGCAGAAATATCAACACCGGCCTTGCTAACTTGGTGGCTGTTAACCAGTTTGGAACTCTTACCAAAATCCCGTTCCAAATGCATTCTTTTCAGAATTCATGAGATTATTTTTTATTATTTTAAGTGAGCATTTTAATTTTATTTTGCGCACACACACACACACACACACACACACACACACACACACACACATTTTAAGAAGCATTTGCTTCTTAAGCTTGTAAAATCTGGTGTCCAAATCACTAATTCAGCTTCTCTCTCCAGTATTAGTGACAATTTATTACTCAGCCCATTCACTGGCTTTCTTGACCTCTGCAGCATTGGATGAGCCAGCAGTGGCTATTTTGTCCTTAGGTTTTTGTGTGTGTGTCTCTGTTCACCTCTGACCTGTCTGACCTCACCTCCTTTGTGTCTCCTGGGCCCTTTTCCTCTGTTTCTGTCTGTTGCCATGGGCCTCCTTTGCTCGCAAGGGCTGAATTATGATCTACCTGCAGGTGATTCCCCCCCCCCCCCATGTTGCACCCATCTCCCGCCCCCCTGGACATTCTGCAGTCACCCCAAACTCGCTGTTACCTTTCCCCTAAGGCTCTCCTTTTCCTTATATCCCTGTATCTTTCCAGGCTACTGGCACCTTCCACTCACCTTCAGCTCTTCACTTGCCTTCCCCTGCCCCAAAATTAATAGTCACTGGATTATAGCATTAGAGGTGAAGGGACGGGTACCTTGGGGGGGGCCGCCTAGCCCCAACCCCTTCAGCTCAGCTAGTGACTGTCAAAGGCTGCAGTTGAACTCAGGCCCTCTGACTCCAGTGCCAGTTACTTTGCCTTGGTACTGGGGATGCAAAGACAGAGCTGATACACATCCCTCCCCTCAGGGACCTTTCATTCTTCTGGGGGATGTAACATATAAACAGATAGGAATATACAAAGTAGCCGGGGGGGAGGTGGGAGCAGCACAACCGGCCTTGGGCATCAGAGATGGCCTCTGTCCTTGTTTGAGCTGAGCCTGGACAACAGGGAGCTAGGGGTTCCAAGAGTTGGAATGGAAGAGGGAAAGCATGCCAGGCAGAAAGACTTGACTGCAAAAGCGTGGAGGTGGGAGATGGCATGTTCATCATGTTGTGCGGTAAGTTGGCCAGTTTGACTAGAACATAGCATGTTTGATCAGGTATTCAGTTTTGTTAAATAGGCATGATGCTTCAGAAGAAAGAACACAGAAGTGAAAGCAGCATCAGTGAAAAAAAGTCACTTTTCCTCTTTGACCTTCAGTCCCAGAACACGTGCACCTCCCACCCCCAGTGTGCAAACAGGGGTTGTATGTGGTGCCTCCAAGTGGGAGACACAGATTTGGGGAACCCCAGTGTTGAGTGTTGGGCATTCAGACAGGCCCTCGAAGGTCCTGCAGGTACTTTCCTGCTAGGTTGACCTTGTTCTTCTTGAATGTCTGTGTTAATTAGATTAATTAGATCAGGAGCTAAGATTTTTACAAGACAAAGAAAATTTAAAAGGGATCTCAGTTATGAAAATTCATTTTGAACACTCGACATATGCATGTGGAATAGGTACAAAACTTGGCACACTTTCTTAGCCCCTCTTCATAGCCAGTCCATTCAATACCCTCATGTTGTAGTAATGTAGTAAATGACGTCAGGAAGAGATTTTTGGTTTTGATGGCAGAACCCTCATCTTTAGGTGTGTGGAGTCTGAGTTTGTCTGAGAATTGTTGCTTTCAGCATGTGTAGTTTACTTTGAGCATGTTCTATATTTTTTGTGCTTTTAGATTTGACACAGTTGAAGGCATGTAAGTGGTTATGTAAATTTTTCCAGACTGTCCCTCAGAATTTTTAATGTTTAGGTATAGAAATGAACATAGAACTGAGAGAATTGGTAGTTTTTATAACAATAGCATAAAAAGCTCTGTTCCTGGCCCTTTTTATTATTTCTAGCAACCAAGAATTTTAAATATAAAAAAAGGACCTTCTGAGGTATTGAGCAACCTTCTGGAGCCCAGGGATCATTTCTAGATGGTTGCACTGTTCCTGGGCTGGACTGGTGACTGTCCACAGTTTAGCGACACAGTTCAAGTTTTAAAAGCAGCACCCCCCTCCCCGCCTCCCTTTGTGTCTGAGCATCTCCAAGAACAGGTTATCCACACACTGGACTTTTCTTTGCCTCTTCTCCCCCCCCCCCCCCCCCCCCCCCCCCTTAGTTCAAATTGTTTTCAACAACAAAATTGAACAAATATTTGTTCAGTACATGTAGTTGGCGAGGTGCAAGGACACGATCCATGTATTGAAGATTTTCAGATTTGAAAGGTTTTCCTAAAAAACTCACAGCTAAGTGTTTTATAGATATCTCATTAGATTCTCAAATGTCAAGTAACACTTTACATGGAATGGGCACTTACTAACTACAGTCTTTTTTAGATAGAAACCCTAAAAAAATATCCTGTTTTTGCTAATTGGCTTCCCCTCCTTGAAAAAATGGTTTTTATAAACACATTGTTACACATGGGGCGATGTGTCTACCCTTTTCCAGGATAATTTTATCTGAATCCGAACCTTTGCTGCCCTTTTGCCAGCCACACACGTGTATCTTCCTTGAAGAAGCTGGTCACATTCAGATCCCATGTGAATTTTAGGAGCACAAAGAAGGCCAGACTGGCATGTACATGAATTAAATCTATTACTGGAGCTGGAGTATTTGACTGATTTTTAAGCGGTCAGTTTTGTATTCTTAGCCTCCCAGGAGTCCACCCAGTGTCTAATTCTTTCCCTTGCTGGGCCCTTCCCTCATCCTCATGGCAGGGAGGCAGAGCTGCCCCTTATGTGCCCGAGGCTGCCTCCCCACCTTCACAGCCCCATAGCAGGCCAGAGTGCTGAGCTTCCATGGCAGAAGCCTAAGGAAAAAGTGGCCACATCTGTGGCCTCGTGTGGAGGTGTTTTCTTCCATGTTGAAAATGAACTTTGACGGATGTGTTCACGTATCCTTTGTAGCCCTTTTGTGTTTGGGTCACCAAGGAAGGAGCCTTTGTTAGGAAACTTAGAAATCTCTCCCTAAGGATGTCGTGTTAAAAAAAAAAAATCCTGAAAATGAGATGGCGGCAGGAAGGGGGAGAGGGAGAAGGAGAAGGGAAACAGTCTGAATCTGCAGAAACCATCAGAGAGGCCGCTGTGAGGGGGCTGGCTTTCAGAGTGTCAGAATTGCGCTTTGGAGTTAAGAAAGCTCACAGCCCTGGGTGTGTCATCGTCTTAGAATAATCAGTAGGAGTTGCTTACAATTTTAATATTTAAATGAGTGAATACATGTTAGTTTGGTTTAATGTCAGTGCGCTCCCCTCTTCCCCTCCTCCCCCAAAGAAAAGAAAAACCACAACATTTTTTAAATCACTCCACCTTTTTTTCCAATTACTTCTGCCTTTGAAACATTCTCATCTCTTCTAGTGTGCTTTCCCTCTCCTACCTTGTATGTAAAGGCCATCTTCATGTTTCCACACGCCATCAGTTGAAGCCCTCTTGGGTCTGCCTTTGTTTTTTATACCGAAATCAGGGGAAGTGCTTTTGAAGGTTCTAGATGAACCAACACATTATGAGAGATTTTTGATCATGAATAAGCTTTCAAAATAGAAAGCCTTTGAACAGTTACCGTCATCATGCATTGAAGTAGCGTTGGGCCGATTTCAAGAGGAGGGACGTTCATAAACTTACTTCCAAAACCCAGAGGGAGATTGAGCCCCGCCACCCTCGCTTTGGCTGCCTCAGGTGTGCATTGCATCTTCCCATGGTTAACACGGTTAACAAGCCACTCTCTGGCTTTGCTGTGCCGGCAGGAGCCCCCTGGCCCAGATGGAGGAAGAAAGAAGGGAGCATGTAGCCAAGATGAAGAAGATGGAGATGGAGATGGAGCAGGTGTTTGAGATGAAGGTCAAAGAGAAGGTGCAGAAGCTGAAGGACTCGGAGGCCGAGGTATTCTTCCTAACGTGCCACCACCCCATTTTGGGCAGGGAGGGCCATTTCAGTGACCAGCAGCTGAGAGTTTATAAGCTTCATTTTCATTTCTAGTTTTGACCTTTTCCAATAAACCTTGTGCCAAACCCAGCAGTTTGGAGTTTCTTTCTACTCCTGCCCTGTCGGATGACAAAGCCCAAAGGTTCTTAGGGACAGTGGACCCAGAGGCCACCCCCAGCCTGGCAGAAATTGCCATCAAGATCTGGGATTGAGCTGGAGTTCTCCCCATCCAGAATTTATTTAAAGACGCAAAAGGCCTTTCCCAAATTGCAAAGGTCATTAATGACCAGACTTATGGTGGCTCACGGCCACCTTATCATCAAAGCATGACAGCGTGTGATGAGGCTGGCGCTCAGATCCAGATCAGCCCAGGGAGGGGCCTTCAGAGGCACTTGCTGCTCCTTCCTCCCACCTGGGAGGGAAGGGCCCTGCGCCAATTGCTGTGGGTACTCCAGCCTCACTCCTACCTGCCACCTTTTGCAAGGTGTTAGCATGTGAGACCAGGTACATTCCCATACGGAGAATGGCCTTGAAAAAAGGTACCTCGAGTCCCCTTTTCAATCAGTGCTGTGTCCCAGCAGTCCTGCACGCATTGCAGTTGAGCAGCATGGTTTTTCTGGTTCTCTGAAAACATAGCAGTCCTCGAGGGCTCACCTAAAATCTGAACTAGGGTTCAGTGCTAGGCCGGGCACCGTGAGCCCAGCCTTGCAGGCCCTGTGGGCTGGGCACCACCTCTCTATTTGGAGTGTTGTGTAGACCTTAGTCTAGCAAGAGACCCATTTGTGATTATTGGTGGGGTGAGGGACTCCCCTGAAGTCATAGGTCTTTGATGTATCACGGCAGTTTCACTTGTTGGCTCTTCTGATTTTTCAATTTGGGGGTTTTTCTTTTGTAATTTAGCTCCAGCGGCGTCATGAGCAAATGAAAAAGAACCTCGAGGCTCAGCACAAGGAATTAGAGGAAAAACGGCGTCAGTTTGAGGACGACAAAGCCAACTGGGAAGCCCAGCAGCGTATTTTGGAACAGCAGAACTCTTCCAGGTCACTAAGCTTTGGGGCGGAGGAAGCTGCTTCTGGGTTCATTTTATCATTTTTTTCCAGGAGCTTTGGCAAGATGAGTGGCATTTGCAGCTGAATGGAAGCTCCTTGGTGTTGGAGCTTGGGGTTTGTGTCTGTATGTTTGATAACTGAGTCCCAAAAGGTCTCTTCAGCCTCCCCAGCCGGAGGAGGGAGGCCCCCTTCTCAGGAGGCGTTGGGCTCCTTATCGTTAGGGAAAACAGAGAGTGGGACAAGTACGTCATGGCAGACGTCAGTCTCCGCTTCTGTACCTTCAGCTCGGGGCAGGAAATCCTGAGCACCTACAGACGTTTGTAGGGGAGAAGATGTGTCCGTGGGAGACTGGGAGCCAGGCTGCCATCAGAGTCTTGGGTCCGCAGTTTCTTCCTCTAGGGAATGAGGGCGTTTGGCTTCAGGGACTCTTAAGACTCCTTGTAACTTGAGCCTGTGATCCTACAGGTGCAGTAGTGCACAAGAAAACAGTGCTTTGGGGGTCTGATCAGGAAAGGTCATTTCTGGGATGGAAGCACTGAGTCAGCATTTGAATTGAGCTCTCAGTACTGGGGGGAGCCTGTGTGGGCTGAAGGGAGGAGTCTGGTTTAGTGGGAATCATGGGGAGGGTGGCTGGGAGGTCAGATCATATAGACAGGAGCAGAGAGAGCAGAACGTGGGACAGCACCTCTGGGACCCTCAGTGTCTTCATCTGTCAGAGGAGGGGCTGGGGTTAGGTGGTTTCTAGGACCCCTTGAACCATCTTGGCACAGTATCATTGGTCAGAGGACCAGCAGCAGAGAGTCCTGGGCAGGCCCCTTCTCTCCCAGGCTGCAGTTTGTGCTGCTTGCGGTGCTTGGTAACCTTGGGGGGGGGGGTGTGGCAGCACCCCTGGTCTGTAAGGGAGGGCGGGAGACTCCAGATGGGGTCTGGCCAAGAGTCTGGTCAGCTAGCTGCGTGCCTGCTTCTTGAAGGAGCCGGTGTTGATGAGGATGGAGGCTCAGTGGCTGGTGCTGACCTTGGATGCTTTCTTTTTCCTTTTCTAGAACTTTGGAAAAGAACAAGAAGAAAGGAAAGATCTTTTAAAGCCATTAGTGACCACCAGTTCTGTATTAGTTGCCAATATGCCAGCCTGGACGTCAGTGTTTGTTGGATCCGTTTGACCAATTTTGCACCATTTGTATCCATAATGATGGATTTAACAGCATGACAAAGTTTTTTTTTTTTTTGGTTTTTTTTTTTTTTCCCCGGTTGATGGAGATTAAGATGCCTTGAATTGCATAGCGGTGTCATGTACTTAGAAGGAAACATCTCTAAGTACCTTCCAATTTTTCTTTTTTTAAACAGATGTCTTCACTTTAGTGCAAGAGAACATTTTACTGTTGTACAATCATGTTCTGGTGGTTCAATTGTTTACAGGATATTCCAAAATAAAAGGACTCTGGAAGGTTTGCGTGGAGGAGAAATCGCCATACTCTGATACAAACTATGTTTCTCTCTCTCTCCCTCTCTCTCCTCTTTCTCTCTTTCTCTCTCTCTGTCTCTCTCTCTTTCCTTCACTCTCTCTCTTAGAATTCTCCGCAGATGAGAACGTGACCTAGTCTAACACAGCTGACCCTCTTTTTTGACACTTCCATTGTTTAAAAGTACACATGGAAAAAAAAAACCCTATAAGCTTCCAGTGCACCTAAAGCTTTTTATAACAGCCCTTCCTTGTTTTGGATTCTTTAAATATATGCTCTTCTCAATTTAGTGACTTCTTTAGCCAGAAGACTCTCATTACTGCTTCATTTTTGTAATAACATTTAAATTTAGATATTTTCCGTATATTGGCCCTGCTAAAATAGAATATAGCGTCTTTCATATGGTAGGAACCAGTGAGTCAAACTTTCCTTTAACTCCGTTTTTACACTTTATGGTAAGTAGCAGGAAAAAGGCATTCATAGGTCATTTCTAGACAAAAACATGGAGTTAACGACCAACTTGTTTCTACCTGTGTGCAGTCTCTTCCTTATTTTACTAGAAATGGGAATCATGGCCTCTTGAAGAGAAAAAAGTCACCGTTCTGCATTTAGCTGTATTCATATATTGCATTTCTGTATTTTTTGTTTGTATTGTAAAAAGTCACATAATAAACAATATTGTGATGTAACAGTTTGGTCTGAAGTAGTTTGCAAATAATCATCCCGGGGCATTGATCTTGGGGTGGGGCTGGCAAGGAGAACATTTACCGCTCTCCTTAGTGCTCCATCCCTGAGTCTTGTGTGTGTGTGCATGTGGCTCGTTTTTGGATGGCTCTGAGTTGTTTTTCTGCTTCAAGGAGAAATCCTTCCTTACCATTGACTTAGCCACATTACTTTCTTTGAAGAAAATGGCCAATTCAGATTCCATATAGTCACATATTCCTAGAGCATTGATTTTTACTCTTTTATAAAGCAAAATGTTACAAATTTCTATTTATTTTTTTTTAGGTGCTATTTTTCATATAATGAAATGTCACCCAGGTTTATCTCTTTGGATACTGGGGAGATTCTTTTGGGCGTGTTTGTTTTAATGTCCCCTTCTTTTGTTGGGATTACTTATTCAAGGGAGGTGAACACAAAGATGGATTCAGCATCATTGTGGCCATTTTGGCTTGTTTAAAAGAAGATGTTGCCATTTCTCAGACTGAGGCAGTACCACCCTGCCTGCTTTTGGTGGGCCAAGGCACTCTATCTTCACTTTAGAAAATCTTTTTACTACTGAATGCGTTTTAAGCAACAAAATCTCCCCAATGCTACTTTTGAACACAAAACTCAGGTATGCATTTTGAGTGAAACAAAATAAGAGTTCACTTTCCTGTAATACTTTAAAGGTTAAAAATTGCAGCCTTCACATCAAAGCTCCGAACTAGGTAAAAAATACTTTAACCGTATTTCATAAATGAAGAGGGGTTCAGGGTGTGATTTATTTAAGGTCATATCTCCGAGAAGGGATCAAGGCTGGAAAGCTTATTCAAATCTCAGCACTTCTTCAAGCTATGCCACTGTGATAATGGCAGACTTTTATATCCATTTGACAGCATAATTAAAGTGGCTTGGAAAAATCTCTTGTGCACTGCCCACCTGCACACCAAGACATTTTACAACCAGACTTGTCCTGTGCCAAACTGCAGATGTCTCTCTGGCCAAGCGAAATATCTGAAGTTTCTCAAAAGAATTTACTATTTGGACTTTAGGAACTTTATTGGCCAAGGTGGGATTTTGAAGGAGTTAAGGAGGCACGTGCTGGGTACTGGTGACACAAGGTGAGAGCCCCATCCTCTCGGGTGACATGACATTCTACTGAGGGAGGTGACGGGTTGCATGAGCATGTACTCGTTACTCTAATACCAAGTGTGGTTTTGGTGGTGGGTTCCTAGTAGCTAAGGGACTCAGGACAAGGTTACCTGACTTGCTTACCTTGTATGAAGGGCTTTAGAGACTGCACAGTAGATGCTGATTTTGTTTGTTTGATCCTGAAGGTAAAAGGAGCTACTGGGATTTACTGTGTAGGGGTAGCGTAGTCTGACTTGTCCTCTGCAATAGCCAAATAGGCTCAAAGATGCTGCTGTAGCCCGAGGAGAGAGAAGGGTCTGAACTGGTGGAGAAAGGCACATGTGGAGATGGAAATAACATGATTTGGAAACTGAACTGGGTTGAAGTGCGAGTGAGGAGTGGGTGAGTAGGGTGGATGGTACTGCCCTGGACAGAAGTAGGGGAGGGTTTAGAGGAACACAAAAGATCCCTTGGGTTATGTTGAATTGGGGTCGTGCTGAAGCGTCTGGTCTGAAATGTCTGTCGGGCAGCTGTTAGCATGTACCCAGGAGCTTGGGAGATTGACCAAGACTGGATGCTTACATCAAAAAGTAGAGGGAGGAAGGATGAGGATGGCCCAGGCAGAGCCTCTGTACAGGTAAGATTTTTTTTTTAAAAGATGTGTGGCTAATTGGTGAAAGATAAGGATTTGGAGAGTAAAGAAGAATTGTGCTAATTCAACAGCAGAATAAAAGGGCAGAGACACTTTTTGCCTCTTTCCCTTGCTGGGGTACCTATCGTCCTAGCACCTGAAGAGGTCAGGGCCTCAGTGTCCCTTCTTCCCCTAGGTACCCCTACCCACTTGTGCTCTTGGAAATCTTTAGCTTCCTTTGAAGGTTCAGCTCAGGGTCTGCCTCCTAAACGTGGTCTTCACTAACACTCCCCCTGCCCACTAATGCCCTTTCCCCACTTCATTTTAGTGCTCTCCTAGAAATCTTCCCTTCATTTATCAGTTGTATCCACTACTACAGAGGGCAAAAACTGTGTTGTAGCCAAGGTCCTAGACTAGCGTCTTGCTGGTAGTAGAGGCTTAATGGTTTTTGATGGAATAAAATCTTCTCTTTGACAGCCCGCAGTTTGTGATCTGATGTTTTCTTAAGGGTCTGTCAACCCATTGGAAAGCCTGGGTGTGCAAGGATCTCCTATTTCACCTTTGACACTTTGGGTCCCCAGATGTTAGCTCAGAGTAACAATGCTCACTGCACGTCTTCTCTACTTAGTTCATTTCCAATATTCCCCTCCACTGCACGATCTCAAAAAGGGTAGGGATGACCTCGAGTTCCCAAAGCAGAGGCCCCCATTTCTTGGCAGAATTGAACTTTAGAAACTTACAGGGAGTTGATTAAAAGAAAGTCCCCCACACACAGACTCTTCAGGGGACTCCAGTAAATGCTTTGGGGATTAGAAGATGATCCTCATTAACTTTCAGTATGAGAGCCAACCACCAAGACCTGTTCTTACCCAGACTCCTTTCTTGTCGTCAGGGATTTCCAGGGTCCTCATCCTGAGGGTGTAGGGTTCCAAGAGGCCACTGCTTTGGCAGTCAGATGTCGAGCTCCCTGGCAAAGCGCCTTAGTTCCTTCGGAAATGAGAGGACCAGCTTAGATGCAACATCCTTGCCATCCACCAAATCTGGGCTTCTGGAAAAGGAAACATTGATCACCTGTGTGCAAGGCCTAGGGGTGCTCAGGAAGAAATGTGAAGAGTTTTATATGGCCTGGGGTTGGAACCAGAGGCCCTGGTGGATTTAGGCTCTGTCGGGGAGAACTTCTAACGATCCAAGCCCCACACAAGTAGACCTTGCTGCCCGAGCTCTATGGTTAAGCCCGCTTTCTCTGGAGGTCTTCGACCAAAGGCTGATGGACCGCTCGGGTGGGTCGCCGTGGGTTTGTGGTTTGGACCATATAGCTGCTGAGGCCCGTTACGAGATGGGATTCACTTACAGGCAGGCTCTGCTTTGCCGTAAAGCACAACGGGACTGTTTCCATCAGAGTGGCCAAACAGGTGTGTCCGTGGGGTGCTCTCAGGAAACGTGTGTCTGTGGTGGTGTGCTGTGCACCAGAGAACTCCCTGGGCTCCGTGTGGGAGAGCGTGCCACAAGTAGGACCGGGGCACAGTTCTGGAGCCACTGGTGAACCTCAATATTCCTTTGGGCTGCGCAGGGAGCGTGCGGCTGACTTGGCCATCTAGTTTCCAGTTCTGACAGGGCACGAATGCTCTGATTCTTCCGATGTGACCTCTCCAGACAAGTGAGCCTAGAGCAGAGAGATGCTGGTCTATAAGTTGAGGGGCTTTGGCTCCCAAGGCCTTTGCCAGCTCTCCGTATGGCATGGGAAACGAGGTTGCTGCTCACATGATTTTTTGACTAAGCCCAAGGTCATTCCAAGCTGTCCACTGCCAGCTGAAAAGGGGTCCTGGCCACGTTTCCTCTGTGCTCAAAGCTTACGAAACATGGAGAAGAATGAAAACTCCTTTCACTTCCCACGGGGTGCCAGGCTCAGTCCAGGGCTGAGGGAGGGCCCAGTGAAAGGAGACCTTGTTCTGAGCACAGCTCTGTGAGAAGCCCCGTGCCCCACTGGAGACACAGGGGCTTCTGTTCTCAGCCAAGCACCTCTGTGCTTGCAGATTGGGTGCTGCTGTTTCAGGACTCCGCTTGTCTCCTAGCAGGGCGTTCACCCATCAGCCTAAATAGACAGTAGCATTTTTGGCGTGAGTGTGGTCATGAGGCCAGTGAAAGGGAGGGGGCGCCCGAGGCTAGCGCCTGTGGCTTGGCCAACAGGCAAGGTCAGAGAAGTGGGACTTCTGAGACTAGGTATCTCGAGTGATCTGCCGGGTGAGAACCATTTCTTGGAGTCCTACGTTTTGCAGACAGCCTGGCCCGAGAATCTAGAGGGGACCTCAGACAGTGGGCTAAACCCAGCACCTCTCTCTGCAGGACCCCCCAACAATGGTCACGGGTCAGGGGTCTTTGTCTGCTGTCCTGGGCCCAGCTCATGCTCCATCTCAAGTTCTTGCGTTCTTTCTGAGTGCGGGACACAGACACGAGGACGTACCTCTATCAGCTTCCTCATCCGTGGAATTGAGACCACAGTCTCCTGCCCTCCTTCCCTGGCGTGTTTTGGGGAAAGCACTTGGAGAGTGTGTGACCTCAGAAAGGACATGAAAATGGGGATGCTGGGATGGGGCGGGGATGGGGAGGATGCCCTGCATGAGTCCCCATGTGTAGGCACCGGGCATTTCCCTTCCCCTCCGTCAGATCCCGACTTCCTAGGGGGCTGTGGGCCCTTAGTGTGAAGACCTCAGGGCTTCACTTCCTTCATCTAGGGCCCTCTGACTGGCAAGGTCTCCTGCCCCTGCTCAACTTTCCCATGAAATCACTCCTAGTGATTGGTGAGAGCTGGCCCTGGGGTGAAGTCCACCCACATCTCATGGGGTCGTCACACAATGCCATGGGCCAGGCAGTGTAGAGCTCCCCATTACAAGCCGAGGAGACGCTCAGAGAGCTTGTGACTCCTTTAAGGTCACGCACCAAATGGGTCTTGAGGTAAGCCGACCGCACCAGGCAGTCCACTTCCCTTCAGCCAAGAAGGGCCCTTAGAAGTCCCTTAGGGGGCAGGTAGGTGGCGCAGTGAATAGAGCTCCGACCTTGGAGTCAGGAGGACCTGAGTTCAAATTCGGCCTCAGACACTTAACACTTATTAGCTGTGTGACCCTGGGCAAGTCACTTAACCCCAGCCTCACCAAAAATCAAAAAAAGAAGTCCTTTAGGCTGCCCTCTCCCATTGAAGGTGTTGTCTGAGGCAGGAGGAGGGAGTGA